AGTTCATGCAGGGAAAGAACATATCAATATTCGCATATTCATTCAAAAACATGAAAATTCTTAATGGAGTACCCTCATTTTTTATTGAATTCCTAAAAAACAATATTTATAATGAATTTTAATAATTTTTTCGAATTTTTTTTAAGCTTTATTCTGACCGATTCACCAGATTCCTGATTCGGATCGCCGATTCGCCGATCCGGATCGATTTTTTGGAAGCCCGATCCTGATCACCGATCCGTTTTTTAAACCATTGTTTATAACCATCTAAGGTGAAATATGATGGTTGGGTGTCACAAAGTTCATTATTATTATTATTTTTTAAGTTTGAGCTTCGTCGATGAGATAAATGCAACCATCCAATTTTATATCCAACGGTCAAAATTAAGTTTGACCACCTCCTACCAAATGTAAATAGTCTAATTGTATACTTTTTTTTTTCCATAAAATGGGATCCTAAAGCTTTGTACTAGTGTAACCTAAACTTTGCATTTCCACGGACAGATGGTGGAGAAAGCCGGGTGATTGCATCAAGCGGCCAATAAACCATCCACTGTTTGTTAGTTGCATCATGTTAGTACTCTACGGTTCTACCTATTGAGATGCGGCTTCATGCTTATCACCTGGATAATTTGTATATTTTTAATGAAATTCTTGAGGGGATACCTAAGTCAAAAAAAATCTTGAAATATTATTGATGTTAAATTGATTGACTTTAGCACTTAAATAAATTTTCAGGTGGCATGACCATATTGTAAGAACGCAAATCGTTGTTTAATCGGCGATTTTTTCAAAAAGTTGGCGTTCTTATAGAAACTGTTTTAAACGGAGACTATTTGAAAAGGTTGGTAAGAAATCGCGTCGTTTTCATAAAACCATTTAAAATGTGTTTTTTTCATAATACGATTTAAATCTGACAAAAAAATCGTATCCTTTTTTACCTAAATTTTTTCTTTTTGAAAGTTTTTTTTTCCTGTTTTGTGTATTGAAGCCATTGCTACTCTCACGCTTTTGAAAAAAAAATATTATTAAAAAAAAGAGAGGCTAAAATAGAAACTTTTATCCCATTGTGTTCTTCAAAGCCACAATAGGTTGATGGTATGAATTTTTTAAAAAAACTTGAACAAATAGATGCATATTTCAGTTGTTAGTTTGGAAAATCATTGAAATATTATTTATAGCAAATCATTTTATAAAGTAAATCATTGTGTAAATAAATCATATACATACAGATTTATGTGATTATTTGTGATAATTGTTTTTATGAAAATACTGTTTATGGTACAAATTAGAGCTCAAAACATAGTCTTTTACTGATGAATGAGAAGCAGAGAGCGTGACTACAGGACCAAGCAATCAATATTTTGTTTCCGAAGCAATTGTACATATAGCATTAGTTCTCCAAACTTAATCCTTCCGCTTTGCTTGCTGTTTCTCACAAGAAAATAAAAAACCCACTTCAAACTATCCTGTTTCCCCAAAAGAATGAACAACCCTCTTCAAACTATCCCAATTTAGAGAGAACAACCCTCTTCAAATTATCGCAAATCAGCATCCCATCTTCCTTTTCTCTCTCTAAAAATCAGTTAGGGTCTCTTCCATTAGGATTCTTTCTTTTCTCTCTCTAAAAATCAAGGCCTCTTCCATTAGAGTTAATCCTTTTCTCTCTCTAAAAATCAGGACTCCTATTAGGGTTTGTGAAGCCCATGAACTCTTTCTTCTTCCTTCTTATTCTCTCTACAAATCCTAATGGATATGGGCCCAGCCCTACTTTCTTCTCTTCCTTCTTCTTTCTTCTTTCTTCTCTCTTCTCTTCTTTCTTCCTTCTTTCTTCCTTCTTCTCTCTAAACCGTAAACACAGATGTGAAACCCAAATTTCTACGGGCCTTCTTCTCTCTCAAAACCGTAATCACAGTTGTGAAACCCAAATTTCTATGAGCCTCTTTTCAATTAAAAAAATTTATAAAACTTTAACCATAGTTATGGAGTGACCATATACACCATACCATAGTTAAATCATTGTATTGAGAAAACAAAAATCATGTATTTTTTTTGGTACCTGCTAAGTATGTGTGATGTGTAAGTATTTAATGAATAAATTTATAGAGTATATTTGTCACTATACCATAGTTAAAGTATTTTAATGAATAAATTTATATAGTATATTCGTTTTTTTATGTAATAAGTAGGTGTGATGTTTCTTAAAATATTTAACGGGTAGATTTATATGATACATTTTTTTTTGGTATATACTAGTTAATTATATATTTAATATTGGATGATTGAATGAGAGTCACGAGGCATCTAAATTAATTGACTTAATTATATTAGTTTAGTAAAGTTTTTATAGATGAATTAGTAATTGATGGCTTTGACATAAATTTTTTTTTTTTAAATTTCAAAATTTCTAATATTATAAATTTATTTGATTTTTTGAGCCTAATCCGATATATCAACGATATCTTTGTATGAAATATTTTTGCCGTTCCATATTTTTTACCCAATTTTTTCATCTGATTTTTTAAAATAAAAACGATTTGTTTCCGATTTTATGGTGAACCTATTTATTGATAGTCCCCAACTTGCTAACTATGTTAAGAACAGGTTTGGGGGCGTTAACCTACACACCTGTTCAAATGTAGCCTCATTCAATAATTTTAGATTCAAATGTAGCCTCATTCAATAATTTTAGAGATGGATTGTGAACCTAAAAATTTACAGAATCACTGCGATCATGAATTTAAAAAGAAAATAGTTTGAACCTTAAGATTATACTAATTTAGTCTTTGGAGTTGAACAATGTCGTAGTTCCGCGCAAATCATTTTATTTGCACTACTTTTTGAGCTGAGAAGTCACATATCTAAGATGAAATACTCCTAGAGGGACATTTAGATCCTCCTCAAGATGGATTTTTGGAAGGGGACCGTGTTTCAATAAGGTTTCATTTTAAATTTTCCCTTTATTAGGGGGAAAGTTTAAGGAAGTTAAGCAATTCCCTTCCAAAAACAATCTTACATATGGATTTAGGATCTAAAATCCAGTTTAAGTCATTCTTGAGGCATGTCTACTTTGGATTCATGATTTTGCAACTTAAAAGTATTAAAGTTATAATTATATGCGAATAATTAAAATGAATGGTCCAAAAATAAAGTCTATTTTCAAAATTTAAAATCCATTCATTTTTCAGATTCATGATGGTGGCACTCAATGTTATCAACCTATAAAATGAGTTTTTGTAAGGAAATCACATTCAAATCGGTGAGTCAGCTGATGCACCAAATCCCTGCCCAGCAATAAATTTACTTGTCTTGTTAGCTCAAGTGGTAATGTTTTTTTTCAAGAGAAAAGTAATTCACATAATTTGCTTATCCAAATAGGTGCATTCTACACTTTGAAGAATGCGTTGTTTGTATACTAAAGGCTATTTATTGGAACATAAGGGTTGGGTTGTGGCGATAGCATTCTCACACCCAGATACTACATTGTGGTATTCATTCCTACTGCTACCCTCAATTTCACACCTTCAAAATCTAACTCCCGAATCTATTGAAAAAATAGTAATGTGGTATCCATTCATACCACTACTCCCCTAATCTATTGAAATTTAGCTTGGTTTTTCTATATTAGAGACAAATTTAAAGGGTTCTTTCCAAAGTTGAAAATTTGTTAAAAATATTCAAACTAGAAAAATTGAAAAAACAAAGAAAAGAAAAGAAAAAGTCACAATATGTCTCAAGTTCCATTCCTATGTAACTTTATCAAAAAAATGGAAAAATTGTAAAATTAAACAAATATGTGGCACCTAATGCTTTGGATTTTTTGTGGGTGAAACCTATTAGTTTGGGTTTGTCATTAATTTTTCTTTTTCTATATTGGAGACAAATTTAAAGGGTTCTTTCCAAAGTTAAAAGTTTGTTAAAAATATTCAAACTAGAAAAATTGAAAAAACAAAGAAAAGAATAGAAAAAGTCACAATATGTCTTAAGTTCCATTCCTATGTAACTTTATCAAAAAGAGGAAAAATTGTAAAGTCAAACAAATATTTGGCACCTAATGCTTTGGATTTTTTGTAGGTGAAACATATTGGTTTGGGTTTGTCATTAATTTTTCTCCTACGACGGTTCAAATTTACAAATGATGAAAATAGTCAACACAGATTTTTTGTATTGCAACATCACTTTTCTATACTATTTCAAGGTACATTGTGCTTTAATTATTGGGAAACGTTTCTATACTTCTCCTGCTGCAACGTAGAAGATTTATGCTTCTCCTAGCATCGAGCCCTCAAATTTTGATTAAGAGAGCCGCTCATCGTTTGATATTAGATCTGACATCTCAAAATATTTTATTTTTAATATTTTGTATTCAAATTGTATGAATATGAAATTTGGTATATACCATTTTCTCATCGGGGCGCATCTATAAAATATATTAAACATAAATTTTTTAAAAAATATAATGACCAAAATACCCCTTGAATATTTTAAAGGTATTTTGGTCATTTTATTTTATTAGAAATAATTTATTTTTATTTTTCGCTAGTGTGAGTTCAATAGAGGATTGGACGTGCAAAATGTGGTGTCAAAATAATATATACAAAAAAATTTAAAATAAAATAGTATAGAGCAGTGATGTTGTGATTGGGGCAATATTAGCCCTCCATTCAAAATAGACGGTTGGATAAAGGGAAGTATATAAGTTTTATGTGGTAGGAGAAGCATAAGAAGCTTTCCTTTAATTATGTAGGGCCTTCAACCACGTACAAACCACATCCAATCTAGGAATCTAGGGGTGGCTATGGGTCAAGTCGGGTGTCGGTCAACTTATGCCCAGACCCGATTCGTCCAAGGTTTTGAACTCGGATCCAACCCATCGTGTCCAAAACTTGGATTCGGGCTAAGTTCAGGTCAACCAGACCTGATCTGAACCAAGATCCAATCCAGATCTGAGTCAACTCGTTTTGGACAGACCAATCAGCTCCAGAATCGATACCAGGACCGAGACTCGTATCGGTTTCACTTGGACCCGGTTGCCAACCCTAATCCAATTTCAAACCATACGGTACGGCGGGTCATCACGTTCACTGTACACCACCCAAAATGTGAGCCTGACTTTTAAACTTAAAAAACAGAAAGTTTCTGAGCCTGTTGTGTCACACTGTCACCGAAGCACCCAGCAACAAAATCTAGGATCCGACTTTTGGAATCACTTTGGTATTTGCAGCGTCGTTTTGTGTTTATTATTCCCTGTTTTTCAGAACCCAAATGCAACTTTATCCACTTAAAAACTCCCCTGATTCTTATCCATGGCGCCCTGAGATTACAGAATATCCACTTGATTTCATCAATCCAGGTCGTTTTATGGCTTAGGTTTTGCATTTTCAGGTTCGGAGTCCGCGAAAAGTGGTTTTTCCGGCTGTTCAAGTCTTAGGAGAAGTGTGTTCGACTGGTTTTCCGGCATTCGTCAGTGGTTTTTAGGAAGTTCAGGGCTGTTTGCCACATGGATGGATACGGGTTAGCTGTAGACTGGTTTCGAGATTGGTTTATCTGAAACTGAGAGTGGTATTGGTTAGTGCATGCCCTATCAGAGGGGGCTTTGAGTTTCAAGCTTATGCTCTGTTGGGTAATACTTCCTGCAATCTGACAGATTGGAGTGGTTTGCCGGAAACTGAGTGTTTTTCCGTTAATTGAGGGAGGTTTCCCGGCAATTGAGTGTCAATCGCGGTTTCTGAAACTGTTCTCGGGTGGTAATTTTCCTGCAACCGAGACTGACTTTCGGCAATTAAGAGCCATTTCCAGCAGTTTACAGTGGTTTTCCGGCAACTGAGCCTTTTTCTGTTAATTGGGTGTAAATGGCGGTTTCTGAGAGTGGAAGCTCTTCAAGCTATGACGCTGGACTTCCATGGGTGTTTAAGGGGAGGTGGGTTTGTATGATTTTCTCTGTTTAAGATGCTAGAATCCATAGTTAATTTCTATACTTAGAAAAAGTGGTCTTAATCCATGGTCTTTTCATTTTTTTTGTGTCCTCTGTGATTGACGGTTTCCGTAAAATTTTTTGTCAGACTTCTGCTCCCGCTTATTGATTTTCCCTCCTAAAATGGTGAATTTAACTGCCCATTGTTTAACAGAATTGTGCTTCTTTTGCTGTACCGTTCAAAACCATGGGTAGACGTTCTGTTCTATTTTGGTGGTTTTTCGTCCTTGCTTCGGCCGATTTACACTTGTTTCTATGAATTTTCCATCGGAGATAGATGGTTTTCGGTCTCCAGTTTGTGGGAGTTACAGATGATAGGTAGTTGGTGGTACGGGTAAGCGGTTATCCGTTTGCTAAAAGCGGTTTCTGGTTTTGTCAGTGCATTGTATCAGCTCCATCTCGTGAAGGCGGAAACGGCGCGTGCTTTCATTCCAAAAGAGTTCAGATTGGTGGAAGCTTTCGGGTATTATTCTTCTCTCTCTCTCTAACAGTTCAGATTGGTCGAACCTTTTGATATTATATTTTCTCTCTCTTCCTTTCTCTCTTGCTTTCTTTTTTTATGTAAAATTCTACCGAAATCTACAGTGAATTTTGCGAAATATCGGGCTTGTGAACAATTTTTACGACTCTCCAAAATGCCACCAAAATGCCACCAAAATGTCACTTGGTTTCCACTTTCCACTGAAAATCCCGCCAAAATTAGCTAGAAATTGGGGGAATTTTTTAAAATTGTAAAAATATATTAACATAATTTTCCCATGGACTCCTTTGGTTAAGTAGCAATTGTGCGAAAATCTGCAAATCTTCGTATGATTCCTGCTCTGGATATAATTCGTTGCTCCATATTATTGAGTTAAGTTCGATTATTATCAATATCTAGGGTTTTTGAATAGTGAAGTGAATATTCTGTTTATTTTTGGATGTAAGCTTTTTTTTTTTTTTTTGAATTTTTTGCAGGTATAATCTTGGTGGTCTTTTTCTTGCTCACTACGATGACAGCCCAGCTGGTGTGTTCGATGAGGTGCCACTGTTTTTCTCTTAAATTCTACTATTATATATTTATTTTTTTGCATTTACTTTTTTCAAAATTATATTTATAGGAATGAATAAATCGTAAATAGGAAGGGTAAATTTTGAATTTCACTATGCCTCAAAATTTTCCTCCAATGTTTCTGTAATCTCTCACAAGTATGTTTAGAATCCCTAAATTATCTCTCTCGTATTTCAATTTTTTGATAACAGTGTAGGAATTTATCCTTACACAAATTGGTTAAAAATAAATGAAAAATCATAGTAGGATTCCTTCTTAAAATTCAAATCTCTTATTATAAATTAATTTTTATCCATATTTAATTTTTAGTTTTAAAATACTTATAATATTTATGATTTAAAACTAAGGTTTAATCATGCATTAGATGTTTTATAACATCAATTTTTAAGAGCAGTTTGAAAACCAACAATTAGTTTATCATGGTATAAATGATATTGATCAAGACCGGATTGGACCGTGGCGTGCAATTGGTTGGACCACAATTCGGTGCTTGGGGGCCTATTTGCTCTAAGGAAAAAATAGATTTTGGTCTAAAACTGGTCAAATCTAATGTTTCTTGGTTGGACTGGCCTGTTTTTATAGAGATAGATGGGCCAAAACAAGTCAAATAACTATTTTTTAATTATATTTCATATTTTTAAGTAATTTTTTTTATGTTATTTTTTCAAAATCCGATTCATCAGTTTTGACTAGGGGCCCCTCACCATTTTTCGTGGCCGGTCGCCGGTCCCATTCTACATTGGTATAAGTTTTGGTAAGAGAAAAAAAAAAAAAAATAATAAATTTCATAAACTTGAGAGCTAGTTTTTAATAATTTTTAGCAAAAATCTCTCTCTCCGTTCCTCTCTCTTATTTTCTAACAATTTAGTTTAACTTGATTGATGTCATGAACTTCCTCTTGGGTTTATTTCTGTCAAAATGAGGAATGGGTCTCTCTCTCTGTGTCTCGCTCTCCCTGTTTTTAGTGGTTTGGAATGTTTGCTGAATAGAAAGTGTTTGTGTGCTTCAGCTAGTGGTGATTGCAGGCATTGTATGGAACCTGCCAACATCATGCGCGTAAGTTTCTTTTCCTACTTTCTGATTTTTTAGCTTGTTATTTGTTTGCAATCCATCACTTCACAGTACTGTTATTTGATTTCAAAAGCTTATAAAATATAGGTTTATGTTATTTATACCTACATAATTTAATGCTTGCATTCTTTTTTCTTGGCCTTAAGATGGGCTGCAAGAGTACTCGTGAACAGTCATGAAGCGTGTAAACATGGAAGAAAGGTGTGCTTCTCTCTCTCTCTCTCTGTTTCTCTCTCTTCTATCTCTTTAGACCCAATTTTTGATTCAGTCATCTACTTATTTCTTTTGCAGTATGTGGGGCTCCCTAGTCATGTTGCTACATTTTCGAAGGTGCAGAACTAAACAAAATGTCTCCACTTTTTTCATTTCTTGAGAAATATCAAATATACAATTTCCCTCTGTTTTATGATGGGCATTCCTGATTTTATGGTACTACAAAATTAAGGAGATTTTAGAGTTTTTTATGTGATCTAGTTTGAAAAGCACTCTTACCTATGACAGGAATCTTTTAGTTATTATATACTATGTCATCTTATCAGCTATCTCTAGGGGCACTCCATCATTGATGTGAGTTTTCACTTTTTCCATTGGTTTGATTCTTTCTTCATGTGGTGCTTCTTCTTACTAGGCATGACCAACTAACTAGCACCATTCGTTTTTGGCTTTTTCAATGCTTGCGTGATTAATATCTTGAGTCGAATAAATTGTAAATGCCTGATTACTTTATCTTCGACTGTTGGCCCGATTACAATGAATAGTTTGGCTTTCATAAAGCAAATAGAGCTATATTAACATGCAAATTGGGTTTTGAACTTAAGTAGAAATATCATTAAACATATGCCAGCACACCTTTATCAAAGAACCATAAATTTTTATAACCTAAAATAGCTTGCTATAAAATCTCTTCACTACTGTAAACTTGTCACATTAGGATAATAACATCAGCATATATAAAAGAATTAAACCCTAAAGGAGAATACAACAATTCAGAATCTCATCTAATCAACTCAAAGGAAATTTCCAAGAAAGCATATCAAAGTGAAACGCATGTAAATCGTTCCAACCTACTAGAAATAATGCCCTATAATTTTCTCCTTGCTTATATAATCTTACCCCCAACTTCAAGTAGTATTTTAGATACAAAATACGAACAAAGGGAATGGCGTTGAGGTTGTGGTGGTAGCACCACGTGAGCCTTAGCTCCGATCTAGGTCTCCATTCCCACTAATTCATTCAAAAACCACTAACTATTTCTAAAACGGGTACGGGCTGTATCCCCACTAATCTAACAAAAAAAAAAGAACAAAAATATAGAACAACTCACCAAATTCGAAGAGACTTTTCAAGCCCTATTTTGTTGCCTTTCTAGGGAGGGAAAACCTTTGGGAATGAGCTTTCCATGAGTATATGGCATGAGGGAGAAGACAAGCTTGCTGCAAAACAAGGCTAGGAAATAATCTAGAGAGAGAAAGTACTGTAAGAGGCAACAATGTGTTGTAATCTTATCCTGTGACACTGGAGGGCCCTCACAGAGATGAGAGGCATGTCCTTGTACCTAGCTCACAAGTAAGCAAAAACGAAAGAGAGGAGCTCGTACAAGGTACATTAGCCCCTTAAAAACCCTTCACATATATAACCACTTAAAGGAAATAAAAGGAAACACTTGTAGGGAGAGAAGGACCAAGTGTTGCCTCTCAATGGCCTCTTGTCTCTCTTATCACGTGCCTCTTCCTTTTCTCTTCTTATTTTTTTCCCTTTTAAAATATATTTTAAATGGGGTAGAAAAAGAAAAGAACGAAACTAAAAACTTGCGCCTTTTATTTTTCAAATATTTTAGAAACACCCTTTTTTCCTTTAACATAACTCCTTGCAATGAGAGCAAAGTACAATATTCCTTCACTGTCACGTCCAAAAAAGAAAAAAAAGGATCCATCTCACTTTTGTTATATCCCATGGATGAATATGAAGATACTTGCACTTCGCCTTAATTGTTCAGAAGCTGCTACTTCATTCTGACTTCTACCTGATACCATTGTCATCCAGATCAATTAAACTGGGTTTTAGTATCATGTAAGTTTCTAACAGAACCTGACTTGGATAAATCACTTAGAATTCTAAATTACTTTGTTAGTGCTTAATCATACCTTTTCATGATTAGCAGAATCTCTCATTGGGTGCCTTTGTAACAATGCGTTCTGTGAGATGCAGGTGGTTTCAGTTTGAAAGTAACTTGGACATATTTCATGAATTCATTTACTGGGTTCTTCCCTTTTTTTTTTTCTTTTTTATTCTTTTTTATTCTTTTTGGGTAGTTCAGTGGTAGGATTTGAACTTGGAATGTAGTGATGCTATCATCAACAACTTAACCAATCAAGCCCATGCTCAAATTTTAAAGATGCTTGGTGGTTCATTTTCACATCCTACACAAGCTCATGAATTCCGTTTAACAATTAACATATTTAAATGAAGTATGTGGTTTCAAATTCCAATTGTTCAACAATGATGAAGTGGTATGCATCGTTGAAGGAGGACCATGAAATTTGAATGTTAAGATCCTGCAAACCTATTTCTTACGTGAACTGAGAGAGTTCTCAATCCTTTGGCTATTCCTTTCTAGAAGTATGTACTGTGTGACCCATGTGCTATGAACTGAGAGAGTTCTCAATCCTTTGGCTATTCCTTTCTAGAAGTATGTACTGTGTGAAAGGACCTTGAGTTTTGAATGTTGAGGAAGGAAATTACTATTTCTTGAGTGAAGAAGATATTGTTCTTTGTGGCCATGTGCCACTAATTGCCCCTAATTGGGATAAAGAGAGAGATAGAGAGAGAGATCTTGATCATTCAGCTATTTCTTAATGGAAATCGAAAATTCTAACCATTTGAGTAAAGAAGCTAATAACATTCGGCTTGCTAATACTGGTTGGTGATATCACTTATGCCTCACATAAGATGTACTGCTTATCCACACATACTTATAGACTAAACTCATAAATACATTCTGAGATAGCAAATAAAATAATCTATTGTAGGTGTTCAAAGGCCCAGAGAAATCCAAATTTGTGCCTAAAATCCTTGAGTACCTAGTCGCCTGCAACATCAACTTGAGGGCAATTCACTTCCAAATCATGGAACCTCATCTAGCTCCCATTTCTTATTCTATTACCTTTTCTGTGTATTTGCAAACTTGCATAACTAAATACAGTGTCTAGTTTGGTCCCCTCAAACGCTACCATGGTTGTTCATGGGTTTTTCCACTAGTATTGAGGACACTATGAGGCATTTTGCTTGTTCGGGTGCTTGAACCTTCTCTAGTAAGTCAATTGTATGTATTCATGAAATGTGCAAATTGCATCCAATTACGTCTCTATTTATGCGAGTATCATTGTTTCTGAATTTTGTTGATTGTGCTTACAGATCAATTATCCACTTGAGTGACTTACTTATTCATGCATAAAAGAATTATGATCCTTTTTACAATTTAGTTTCCTAGTGGCATCAAATTTTGTGCTTATCTTTCAAATAGTTGTGTTATGTATTGATATGTGTGTCCCCAACATAGAGATTAATCCATACTGCATGCTTCCAAATCATGGAGATTGCTGGATCTCAATGTAATGCTACTGTAATTGGAAGTTTCCACAACCCAAATGACCAATTTCTTTGACCTCAGATCATTGGAAATTTTTTTTAATATTCTTTCCAGTGCAAGACATGCCCTTGATTCTGAATCCCCTTGCCTGGTCGAAAATACAAAATACATGGAAATGCGCGTTCTTAAATTTCTGCACAATTTTCAATATAACAGCAAAAACCTGAAATAACTCAAAATTATTGTGAAGGTCAAACCAATCGGATGTTTACTTGATTCATGTAGAGATGAGGAATAAAAATTCCCATGGGTCTGAGGTTGATCCGTCTTTTTACATTTTGAAAGAAGCAAGTGAATGGGAGTTCTTGGGGGAGGCACCTCAAATGTATTCGGACTCTCAAATTTTGTTATTGCTGCAAGAGACGGTCATTATGCCATCTTTTGGTGTCCAAATTATATCTCTTCGATCAAAGGTTGTGCAATTATTCTTATCAGGCATTTGTTATGAACCATAGTGACTCTTCACATCTCAATTCATAACCATTTATAGAATTCTCATATGCCAAATACACCCTAAGTGTGCAATATACTTAAACCATGGTGAGTCATTGTTCCTTTTTATTGTTTTTCAACCGAACATTTGTACTGTTATGTTTTCCATTGTCTTAGTGGCTCTAGAGTACTTTGGCTTGTCAAGCAACCTGCCATTAATAGGCAATTCATTAAATAGGAACTTACCAGGTATTATTCGTTGGTGTTGTGTCTTCTAACAAATTTGTCCTTTTGGTAATTTGTTACAGACATTTAAAAGCTTTTAGGAAATAGAGAACTTGAGTTTAATTCCACAATAGTGAGAAATTTCGTAGGTCTGTATGTGGAATATGTAGTGTTGAGTGTTGGGTACTTCGGGGAAAAAGTATTTCTTTTTGCTGCTCAAGCTTGGAGCATGTGTGCATGTGGCAATGGACTGCCATAATGTTGTAGTGTGGCAAATGAAATACCACAATAGATTCTTTTCACCTTTCCCTCACCATACTTGTACGCTATCGGTCATTGAGAAAGATATAGAGAGAAAAACTGTGGACTACGATGGAATTTGCACACTATTTTCTGATCTCGCATATGTGTGATTACGTGGCATGTGATGGATGCACACCCTTTTGAGTTCCCAATAGCATGATATATGCATAATCCTATACTTCTTGTTTTTTCACACCACCAACTCTCTTAAGCACCAACTCTCTTCCCCATCCCACCAACTCTCTTGCATATGTTATGATCTCTCTCACACATCCACTGACTCTTTTACGCATCTCAGAAACTCTTGCATATACCTCTTGCATATACCAGCCGCTCTCCAATGATGGGTTTATTGAACAACTCATAAAAGGAGCAAGATTTGGGGTAAGTGAAACATAAGGCAAACCTTGCCCCTTCTCGCTCTCTCTCTACAAAGCATTTCTCTCCCTCTTAACATATTTTTATAGTTTCCTTTGCCAAGAGTGTGATCCCCCCTTTCTATTAGCAAAGAGTCCTTCCCTTTTCTTGCATTGTGTTCTAAGGTTCTCCTCCATTGTGAGAAGTGGCTGACTACAAACGTATTCGAAACAATGTGCTTCACTGGGCAGTTGTATCATGGGGTGACTTCGCCATGGACCCTACTGTATCTCGGGCATTTGAGTAGGAGGCCTCAATCACCTAAGCGGCTCCATTCTTTTATCTTAAGGACTAGAAGCACTTA